GCGGCGGAGGGGGCGGTGGTGGTGGCGGTGGAGCTGGAGCTTGCTCCTTAGGATACGGGGCAGGTGGTCCATAATCAAAGGAAGGCGGCTTCTCGGCTGGATATGGTGCAGGTGGCCCATATTCTCTACTCAATGGGGCATGGTCGGCAGTCGCTAATGCTAGCGAGATCGCTAGCACGATATGCCGAATCTGTAACACGAATGCGGACGAAAATTACTGTCAATAGATTCACGTGGTAAAGTAGCATTATTGTTTTTTTTATTTTGTTTTATTATATAGTACACATGCCCAGACCAAATACATCATCTACACTTTAGTAGGGCACCTTCCTCCTAGCAGCCGTCAATGGCTAGAGCGGCGAATGGCTAGCAGGCAGTGGATCAATTTGGCAACAGTGCGTTTTAGGTCAAAATGGTTTAAAGCATTGTTTTGAGTATTGCTGTATGAAAGTCGTGATTTATGCAAGTGAACTGAATGTCTTTCGACGATTTGCACCCTCAAGAATGCAAATTTTTCCAGTAATTTTCATCGGTTCTGGCCGTTGATGGCGATTTGGAGCCACCTGGTAGACACTTCGGACGATGCATTATGACCTCTTTTAAAAATGGGAAAACTTGATTTTCATTCGATTTTTTGTTGAAGTATGTCGACGGTGAAACTCCCAAACCACGTATCACGTTTGCGGTGTTATAGAATCTCAGCTCCTGTTTTATTTCTTTCCGAACAAATCAGCAGTATTCCTCGAAGGCATTTGCCTTGCACAGAGAAGTAAAATCACGTAAGTATTTAAGAATTGAAATTTACCTAGCGGTTCTCTCCTTACAAAAATTAGTCACGGCAGGAACTAATACCCCAATGTCGCAACCCGAAATACGTGGTTTGCGACTTTCACCGTCGATGTCCTTTACAAGCAACACTTCAAATGTTGAAAGCGGTGGATAGCCGTGGTTTTACCGAGTAGGAAAAAGGAGAGAGCCTTTGCAAAGAAAGGCATTTTTGTGCCCGTTTTTGGAGACGCAGGGATTTCGTTCAAATATGTCTAAAACAAAATCTTACGATGAGACAATTCGTCAGTTAAAGTTTCAGCTTGAGAATAAGCTCATTTTGGCAATACAGCTCATTGCGAAGTTTGCATTTTTTACTATTAAAAATGCTAATACAGTATTCTCTCGCTATAAACACTCATTATAACGAAAATCTCTCTTTTGCGAAGGGCACAATTTCATCAGTTAATAATGTTACAGGTTGTGTAGACTGATTAGCTGATGAAATTGCATCCCTTGAAAAAAAAATTGATTAATGTTGTTTTTTAACCCACAAATTTCAAAATGTTGGCATATGTAAACGGGAACATTTTTAAAATTAAACTTTTGAAACGACATACAGGCAGATTAAGACGGGAAGGGGTCTATTCTGCTCATATCTCATTGTCAGTCAAAATAAGCAACGCATTCAAAGCTATTGAAAATAACGGCTTAACACAACTATACGCATTCTAGGGATACGCGTGTTGCATATAAAAAAATGGAAGGCGCCTCGGTCACTCCAGTCAGTGAAGCTATTGACACGGTAGCAGCGCGTAGCGCGCCGCGTAAGGGAGCGTTCATAAATTACTTACTCGTAAATTTTTCGCTTTAGAGGAGGGAGAGGTTATGATCCTGCGTTACTCTGCATTATAATCTGCGTATGAAGGGGGAGGGGGGTTAGAGCCAGCGTTAGTTAACCGTCTCCATTAAAGAAAACACACACCGAATTCAAAATGTATCAAATATTTAATTGTTGTCTTGAAAGGACTCTATGTACGGACCCCCCCAAATTTGCCCGCTTCAAAAGTTAACGAAATTCATACCAGTGATAGAGGGGCACTTCCGGTCTCCAAATCCGGGGTTGGTTTCCGGGTCCGGGTCTGGGTCGGGTTCCGGGGGTGCGAATGACGGGGGACCTCAAAAAGTACGCCAAGTCGGACTTTGAAAGCCTGTATCTCGCGATAGAATCGTTTCCCCGGAAAAACCGATATACCGTTGAAAAGCTCGCATAAATAGCTTTCATTACATGTGAGTTTCGTTTATCTGCCAGCGTTCACAATACTAATTTTTTGAGGTGCGAATGACGCGGGACCTCCAAAAAGTACGCCAAGTCGGACTTTGAAGGCCTGTATCTCGCGATAGAATCGTTTCCCCGGAAAAACCGATATACCGTTGGAAAGCTCACATTAAGGGCTTTAATTACGCGTGTTTTTTATTTTCCTACGTGGTGTCCCAATACCGACTTTTTTAGGTTAACCGTATTTTTGCACCTTGAAAAAATCGAAAAATTGTCGATTTTGGGGTTTTGGCAACAATGGATAAAAACTACATACGAAATGATAGCTCTTTTTATGTTCTATCGACTCAAACAAACCGCACCTTCGTATCTTTAATTGCTCACACTGAAAAAAAAACTCCGGCCGTGGGAGCCGCAATTACGGGCTATATAGACATATCGTCCGTTCCGGGCTCAAAGGCCGAAAATTCCGGCTGCTGGAGCCGTAGCTCCGGCCTCTGAACCCGGATCAATCGAAGCTACGCCTACAGCAGCCGGAATTTTCGGCCTTTGAGCCCGGAACAGACGGTATGTCTATATAGCCCGTAATTGCGGCTTCCACGGCCGGAGTTTTTTTTTCAGTGCAAAAGTTATGGGGTTTAACATGTTTCAACTTTAAAAAATGGCAACGTCGCACTCGGGGGGCTGGGGACTAAACCAATCCCGGATTTGGAGACCGGAAGTGCCCCTCTATCACTGGTATGAATTTCGTTCAACTTTTGAAACGGGCAAATATGGGGGGTCCGTGCATAGAGTCCTTTTTGCGAAAATTCACTATTTTTTAAACCTATGAAACGATGGAGCACAATAAGGGAGGTTGCCATTTGAAAAAAAACAGTTGTAGGTCCCGGCTCCCCTGCAAGGCTTCCTCAAAAATTTAATATGATATAAGAAGGAACTTTTTTTGATCGAAAAGTGTACCCAAAAGTTTAAGCCCCTGTGCAACCGTTCAAAATTTAAAGGGGAGGGGGTATCTAGACTTTTGAATAACCCTGTATATGTCGCAGGCAGTCAGCAATCGCCGGCAGTTTGCAAGTTCCGTACTTGTCAATTCGTCAAATTGCAATTTAAATAACATCGATATAGTTAAGGTTTCTTTAGCGAAGAAATTCAAGGCACGACCTCAGCTTGGAGCGCCTTCAAATCCAGCGATACTCGCCGCTTTGTCACGGAGTTAGTTTAGTTGCTGAACCAAACCAAACCCAACGCAGATTATTATTGATTACATTTCACGAACTCGCGAGTGTGCTAGCTGGTACCATGCATCCATTCAAGAAGGAGGGAATAACATTATGTTGGAATTCAAAGCATACTAATCACTACTTTCTATCTCGTTTTTTCACTTTAAATTTGTTTTTAATTTGTTGATCCATCACGAATATATTGCAATTTGCCGGAGATTGCTAATTTCCTGCGACATATACATATACTTACCTGAACAAATTTTGATCGTACGAGCCGAGCGTTCGGTAGGTAATTTAATTAGATTTAACTATTCAATTTGTCCAAGCAAAATGTCGACTCGTAGAACTGAAAATTCGGTTCGTGAGATCGGAGTGACCGGACACCTCGGTTGGACCGAACTGAGTGAAGAAATTAAATCGTACGAATAGAACGTTCGATCCTACACTCCGCATTCATAGTTGATCCTTCGTCGGTCATCTTTCTGCAGGGGGCCCCCAAATAATTTACATTGTGATTAAAGGAGATTTAAAGGGATCCTCAACATTCGCATCATAAAAAAGACTAAGTAAGTGCACTGCATACCTACATTTGCAAGAATCTCGAACAAAATTCGATATCATAATGTTAGAGATTACAAAAATTTACAAGGGATTACAAAAATTTGCTTGTTCTTCAAATTACCTACTGAAAATATTAAAGAAGAGTTTTGCAGGTTTTAAAAATTTTGAGGTTTAGGTCTGTCCGTGACGACCTTGAAATTTGTCAAAATAATAGAATCCCTGGTAAAAATTGGCGAAAGGAGCTGCGTTTCAAAATACCATAGGAGTTCTTATAGCCGACTGAAGAGGGCGATAGAAAATCATATAGCTGGCTGTAGAAAGTGGAAAAAAATCATATGGCCGGGCTACACGAAGCGATAAAAAATTATACAGACGGGCTACAGTTCCTATCGCCGGGCTTTACACTTTATCGCCTGGCTGATGCTTTTTCGCCATCGGCAATAAAAGGCTATAAGAAATTGTGTAGAAATTCTTGCGCTTTGTAAATCCTTAAGTTAAGAATCACCTCAATATTTATAAAACGCACATCATATTTTCTTTTACTACATATTTTTTTTCACCAATTAAAATGAGAATAATCCATACAGAGTGTGCAAACATTTCGAAGTCATGAGTTGAAAAACGCTGACTCCGCGAGATTAAATATTAGAGCCCAACACAAAGCGGAGCGGCGGCGCACTGGCGCCTACAAACCTAACAGGGATACTTCACGCATTGCGCAATGCGTGAAGTATCCCTGTTAGGTTTGTAGGCGCCAGTGCGCGTTCAGCGCTGGCTGCCGCTGCCCGCCCACCGCGCCGCGCCGCAGTGTACCGCGGCGCTTGAAGCAACTATTTCGCACCAGAGGTATTGCACAGTATCATACAAAATTGAAGGCGCTCCAACATATTAGTAATGGCAGGCATCCTTCAAAAGAACGGAGCTTTCCTCGCAAATTAAATTAAGATACTGCGGCCCAAAAAGAGAGCGGTAGTCCAAAAACTCACCAAGTCCTAGCATCCGTAATTAGTAACGTTTAGCATACACTTTATCGCCAGGCTGTTGCTTAATCGCCATCGGCTATAAAAGGCTATAAAAAATTGTGTTGCCGGCTATAGAAGCTAGTGGAAATCTTACAGCCGGCTGTAGGTCTATGGTATTTTAGAACAGAGATTCTACTGCCAATTTTTACCGGGGATGTTCCCTCCGTTTTTCTTACTTTTTGCAGCGGCAAATCATTGTCAGCTCTCATAATAATTTAAAACCAAGGGGTTTTCTCACTTTGACGGATGTCATTATCACTTGTATTGACTTACTTTTTGTTCCAGTCCGACCCTTTGTTGATTGTTATTTAGGATTACATGAAGGTCATTTCGAGTGTTAAACTCATCCTCAGGTGTGACTTTCACACTCGAATGTGGAGTTTAACACTCGAAATGGCCATCGTGTAAACTAAAGAACAATAAAAAAAAAAGGTTCGGACCGGGAAGTGAAAGTAATTGAGAAGTTAAAATAATTTATTTCCGAAATTATTTCGATAAAAACGCGGCATTTGTCGAAATTGCGTCATTTTTAAGACGCTATGTCGAGAACCTCCTTAAACCTCCCTTAATCACAACGTGAACCATATGGAACCTTCTCACGAAAGGAGCTGTCAAAGGAACGACACAGAATATGGCCAATAAGATCGAACGTTCAATTCGTGAGATTTCTTCAATCACTTGGGTCCAATCATGGAGTATGCGAATTGTTTGATTGGTATGGAACGTTCGCAGGGTGGCTGTGGCAAGAAACGTGAGAAAGAAATGGAAGATTGGAAATTTTAGTAAAATATTTCATGAGATTTCACGAGGCTGTGAAATATTTCATATTTATCAGGGGCTGGAGTATGCAACCCCGCACTCAAATGCACAAAAATAGGAGAAAGTCATAATTTTTACGTTTTGTGAAACTTGAAAAGGAACCGGTATTTTTTAATATCTTTCATAACATTCTGATATTTCATGAAATATTTCACGTATAGTTTCAAGATTTTATTTTTCATGAAATTTTGCCACCCTGAACGTTCGGCTCACGCGATCAAAAATTATTTTTCTCAGTGATAAGGTCAACCCTGTCATTCTCCCCCACTCCCGCCTTCCCATCCCGCAGTAAATTTTAAAGAGAAATTTTCGTTAAGCAATGAAGGAACTGGTCAAATAAGAAAATTTAACGAAATATGTGTGAACAGATGCTAAACCTTGTCACGAAGGGAGAGGAATTAGAAAAGCTAATATCCTCAAGAATGGTCATGTTATAAAAGCAATTCACCACGATTTTGTTCGGACCCAAGCGCAGACGAACCTTTCACGTGCAAGATAGAGCTAACATTTTTGCATCACTTATCAACATCAAGGTTTATGACGGAGATAGGCAAAGGAGTTCCATATGTAGAGAAAAATTAAATTATCTACTCGAAAACCCTTGGCTCATAGGGGTTAATTATGTATCATTTGCGTAGACAACAACCAAAAATCCCAAAAATTGACCTTTTCAGGTACAGATTTTGTAGGTACGAAAAGATAAATTTCGAATGCGAGAAAAGCATGCGTAAACATAACCTGCCGACGATTTAGAAGCCCGACAGCTTTAGAAGCACTTTATTTCTTGAACATATTACATCACCATTAAAATGCAAATTATAGCTTGAAGTTTTGATCTCAGGAGTAATAAATATCACAAGTAAGTAGCTTCGAAAACTGACAATCGATTCTTTTTCTTTCTTCAAAAACCTAATTCGATTTTTTTTTTATAATGCACAATTTTGAGTCCCCACCTCTGGAGCACTTCGCCTCGCTTCATCACAAATATTTATCAGGATTAATCCGAAAATCACAAAGAAATTTGATAAAAAATTAGAAATACTTACAATCATTTTGGGCAGTGTGACGGGAGACCACTGTGCTAAATTTGGAAAGTAATTTAGCTTATATAGTAGCAGGCAATGATGCGGTTTTTTCGAGGGGTAGGGGGATCGTTGACTATGCATTAGGATGCCCTCCTCGCCGGGGGAGAAATTCTCATTTAATTGTCAGTGTTTTCAAACTTGTATCAGTGTCGAAGATTATAGCAGTGAAGCCAAACTTCATAATTTTCATTAAAAACTTATGATCTCTCATCTAAACTGCTTTTCCTACAATTTTGCCAACTTTCATCGGAGGCGCTCGCCTTGAAAACACTGGAGAACTTTCATTGGAGTCAGGAAAAATGTTCCTAAAGGTGGACATTGAAATTGTTAAGCTCAGTGAACAATCAGTGCAATTTTTGTAAACTGTATAGAGTAAATTTTCGGGGGTGTTCTTTGCGTCAAATGATAAAGAATGAGCTCCTTGTAGCTCGTCGCTCCTTGACGTCAGGGCGTATCTCGATTTCCACATGAGCTCCAGGAAGCATGGATTTATGCGTAAAAAAGGGCTCACGTCAGAATTGAGATATGCTCTTACGTTAGACGGTCGATGGGCTGTGGTAAAATGTTTGTTCTTTTTTTTATTCTTTTTCTTTTCTATTTTTTCACCTGAAGGGCCATTTTGTCTAACTCCAACTTTGAAGATGTAAAAATTACTATCATTCTAATAACCTGGTCGAAACGATCCCATGAGAGTGCAATGGAGATTTCATGAGGACCCATTGGAACCCATGGGTCCTTTCGTCCTTTCGTCCTTTCTACCCAAAACTCAAATTTTTCCGGTTATCCACCGAATAAAACTTTCGATCATTATTAGCCATGGATGCGATTTATATCAAACACCCGCAACCGCGGCCAGACCACGGGACGCGCCTTAAATGGACGTATTTCCGCCAAACAGAACTATGTGCATTTAGACATGAGCCCTCAGACCCATAAGAATATGTGCATAACAGGGCTTACGTCATAATGCACGTAGTTCTGTTTGGCAGAAATACGTTCAAATATGTTTTCTCTCGACTTGGAAGTAGTTGATTCGGCAAATACTTGTCTGAAGCGGCAACAGATGATTTGAAGCTTCTTTGAGATATTTTTAACCAACGGCGCTCTGATTGATCAGCTGCCCCCAGCGGCCCGGTCATCTGATCGCTATGTGCTCCTGACCGCACACCTACTGATTGCGAATCCGCGCTTTCATGGAGTTTTCACTTTTTTGCCTTCGATGAGTAGTGAGTGCGGGCGCAGCAGATCACCAATCGGATCGCTGAGAGAGAGAGAGAGGAAATACAGCAGCGGTGCCCCATTAGTATAACAAGGACCGGAAATCTTACAAACCTAATTGGCGTCCTCAGTATTTTTAAGTAAAGATTAAGTAAAAGTTACATTATTGTTGGCGACATTCTTATACAGGTAACAATAAACTAAAATGACGTCAAGAACAAAAGCGGACCCGGACACACTGAACGGGGGGCGTAGAAGGGGGTTCAGCGGCTTTCCTCTGAAAATTGTCGAAATTTTAAAGCATCTAATATGCAGCTTGAGTCAATTTCGTCGTGGATAATTATCAAAGATAAGCGTCCTTCCTTCATCTTTCCCCCGTTTCTTCCAGTCCTTTTTCTTCCTTTTTTCAGGCAATAGGGGGAGGGGGCGCACGCCTCCTATACCCTTCCCCTGGATTCGCATCTAGTCAAGAGGTTTTTGAATAAAATAAAAAAAAAATGCAATGCAAAAAATGTATACATTTTCATGAGTAATTTTCGGATTTTTTGCCGTGAAAATACTTAAGATAATGTAATACTTAAGAACCTTCTTTGCCATACTAGAGTAAGGGATATCTGTATTTTATCTTGATAAACCGATCAAGTAACCGAAAACGTTCGACATTTTTTGTTGGGACACCAGAGGCTAGCTTTTTTTTGTCTTTGACTGCGAGTAAAACTACGAATACAACACAAAGAGAAAAACTTTTAACGAATGATCTTTTGGCTTTGACTGATTTGACCGGTAACTTGCAATGAACAACGCCAAAAAATTGATTCTCAATTCTCCTCTTAAAAATCAGCGAATGGACGGAAAAACAAATAGACATGAAAGAAACACCTCAACGATCAGAACACAAAAAAACGAGAATATGACAGAAAGCATGATCGTAAGGAAGGACCCACACCCCTCTTCAATTAAAAAGGTCATATATAGGTAACATTTTTCCCCGCAGATAACAATACCTCAATAGATGCCCGAAGCTTTTTGGGAGGGGGGGGGGCGACGGTAGCTGACAAACACATTGAACATAAACATTGAGCATCAGATATTGAATATTGAAAATCGAACACCGGATATTGGATACATTATTTTTGAAAACATAACGAGGTCACACGTTCAAAGGGACGAAAGTGCTTACAAGAAGTGACTTTTTTTATGCTTTATCTTAACACTACGACTCTTCGATTCAAAGTATCGCCATGCAAACCCTCCTATCCACAGAATACGCGTAATATCTAAATGATACTAAACCTCAATTCTTACCATTAGACTAACTGCTTTCCCTTCCATCCCTCATTGACGTATGGCTCGGAAAATAGTTTGGTTTTGATGCGCTATAAGCATACCAGTTAACATGTATACTGGTAAACGGCGGCGAGGAACCTCAATGTTTTCGTAACAGGTACAAACAGAACGAAAGAACCTCATTAGGCGACGGTGAAAATGATTAATTGATACCTGCTACTGGTCAATTAACCATTAGAGGTGCCTCGTATGCTGTTAGTTGTCCTGTTTCACAGCGAGGTCTACATATTGACTGTTGGACTTAAAATAAGTCCGACTCAAGAACGTTTCACTTAAGCGCCTGGGGAATTTTATTGGTTTAGTCAGGTAAAACATTCTCAAGACGAGAAGAGTCCACGCCAAGTAAGTTTACGCTCTTTTGAAGTGCAACAGAAGACGAAGTGCGTGGATCTACTTGGCGTGGACTCAAAAAAGCGAAAATTAGTACCTAAAGTCTCTGTCCATATGAATGGACCGCGATCATCAGAGAGGAGACAACCCACATTTTCGAAAAAAATTGAGTTGGGAATGTTTTTGAGTTTCACTAGACGCACATACTTTCCTGCCAAAAACTTAAAGTCGAAACAAGAAAATTAGTCTGAGAAAAGAGGGTTTATTTTTTACATTGAGTCCTAAGGAGTAATGAAACTTAAAACCTCTTTTTCTCAGTTTTAACTTTATGTGGGTTGGTTCTTTTCCGATAAACTCGGTCCAAATATATTTTATCATCTCAATATTAACGAGTGATGCGTTTTGCACAGACTTCAGACGCTGCCAACTATTTTCTCTGGCCCTGGTGACGTCAATCATGGTTTTATCCTGAAGCGAATCGACTGTTCTGCCGTGCTAGGAAAAAACGCCACGGGAGCCCTCAGATATTGCTACATTCCTCTTGACGCATCACGAATATTCGGGAAAATTTTTAAATATTTTTCCTCGGATTTTTCAAAGATTTTTACCCGTAATTTGATCTGGAGTGTCTGAAAATTTGAAGGAAAAATGTTCATAACTTTCTTTGATGATACATATTTAATCATGAATATTATTAAATATGGCATTAAAATAATATCATAACGATCGACATTGCCTTAGATTTTACCAACGCCAACTTTCCTTGCCCGTCGTTGAAGTCTCTTGGAATCATTGAACCTCATCCAAAATCTGCAATTACTAATCGCAGCCTGATTCTCATAATTTTTGGAGATTTACTAGTGTTGGACACATTTTTTGCAAAAGCCCTGTCAACACTACTAGCAAAAGTTCACGGAACTTTGCGCGAAAGTTAAGTTTCGTAAACCTATCTCTGTGTGGACGAGCCCTTCCATTTCTACGTACCTATTGAGCGAGAAAATTATGAAAGAACAAATATAAATGTGGTTTAATAATTTTAACTTCCGCCGCCGCTGATCGCACTGTATTTGGCGCAATGCGTGAAGTATTCCTATGGTCTTGTAGGCGCACTGCGTTTCACACCGACCGCTGCTGACCGCACTGTGTTTGACGCAATGCGTGAAGTATCCATGCAGTCTTGTAGGCGCTACTATGTGTTACATGCCGACCGCCGCGCCGCGCCGAGGGTTTCTCCTTTTCATCTCAAGTCCTCGTCATCGTTGCTCTCTGCGCCGCGCCGTTCCAGGTCAAATTGGGTGTTTGCTCTCTTAACTCGACTAATTAAAGGTGCTGCTTCTTGTACCACCGGAAGACGGCAAAATTAGAAATTGCTATACTCTCAGGAAATGAGAGATTTTGTTGCCTTTTATCGTTTGAGATGTTTTTCTCTGAATCCGTTTTTTTTACACCTACAATTAAAAAAATTGCAAAATTTTCTGCCCCCCCCCCTAAATTTGCCGCCATGGGCCGGGGCCCATGTGGCCACCTCCTAAATTCGGCCCTGGGCGTGGCCTATTCTATTTTCCATGATGTGCATCTTGTAATGAACGGAGTGATAAACTCATTGGATCATCGGATGAAGGAAAGGATATCAATATTTCTTTCGTATATGTACGCACATTTTATAAGCGTCCGTCGCAGAGGCCGCGCCTATTTTTTCCCTCCAATTAATATACTGCCACAGCAACAGCCAATCAGATCGCAAGAATCTGAATTTTCCAGGTTAAGCCCGTCAAGTAATTTATTATTACACTAGTGCGCTTTCAAATATTGTGCTCAGGAGACTTTAATATTGTCTTACCCGATGAATAGTATTAGATTTTCCATTCTGAAGCTTATTTTACGGATGCGTAATGCTAATAAGACAATAGGATAAATTTCGAGATAAATGCAAATTAGTTATTATTTCCTCCTATCCGCGGGCAAAATAACTATATTGGTACTGGTGACTCACCCCTAGACTCACCTAACCTCAATTACCCTGGAGGTAAACAAACACTGATAATGTTTTTTACCGAGTTCAGTTTTTTGTGACATTTAATGTATTTTCCTTATCATCATGTGATTCTCAGTAGTTAGCCTTTAAGACATGGATGGCGTCCTCATATTTAGTTTCCTAGTGCTTCTTTCATACTATGTTGTCACCAGGTAAAAACTTAAAATCTCTCATTTCCATTTGCTTTTCCTAGCAATCCTCTCGTTCTTTTCACTTGTGAACTGCACAGAATCGAATCTAATGCTACTTTTGAAGCAAAGGAAAACTCCTCTGGTATGAAACAAACAGGGTGGTTTTCTCTCGGCATTTGGTGATGACAATCCGCTCGCAAGGGCGCCAGGTCGGAGAGGGAGAACCCACTTCATAGTACTCTGATCTGTGCCTTGGTTAGTCTGATTTCTCCATTAGATGGTATCAGTTTAACCTAGGCTCGATGAGTAAGAACCAGAACTCTGAAAAGGGGGCTAAAGCCTCATTAAATGGAACTTGCATCTTGATAAACTTTCAGCAGAAAGGGGCAGTGCGAACTAACAGACGGAAGCAATCGAGTGCTTTCCCGACAATTTTTGGCCAATCAGGGAGAGCGCTAGTGGCCTTTCGAATTAGATCCAGCCACTCGGATGGGGTTTGGTCACCGCTGCTTCTGTTTCTTCATAAGATAGAGTGTTGGTGGGAAACCAAATGGACTTTAAAACCAAGAATGGGGCTCACAACGTCAGGCTTTTTTTGTCTGGGTCCAGTTATTATCATGCTGGCCCTCTGAAGGGAATCATTACTTAACTGCGGGTATAACAACAACCTGCAATATGATGCAAGCTTCATGCAGGTTCTTCATCCAAAAAAAATTGTCATCCTCTGATATCTGATATAAGTATCTAACTCACAACCTAGGTTCATTTTTTCACCAGATCTGTATTCGAGGCTGGAAACTTGCTACTTACATACATCGGAAAGTTCATCAATATTTTCAAGCCTGATCTGTTTTGTAATTCTGCTGTACTTTTTTTCCACGGTTGATTTCTCATGGCTAATTCGTCTTACAGATTGTTCCCAAAACTGTTTGGCTGGATCATCAGGAAGCGATATAATATTGATGCTCGTATAGGCCGTATTGGGCTTCCGTATCCTAATTTACAAAATATTGTGATCAGTAAAAATGGATTCACAATCGTAAGTTCATCTTAAGTAGTTTTCTCTCCGCAGTTGATTTTGTACTTGCTTGAAAGATAATCTTTTCATCTCAAATCTAGAACATAAATATTCTTCTATGACAATTTGAAGGAGCTTGTCAGATATCTCTTCCATGCCATTTAATGGAAAGAGATCAAAGTTCAAAATTGGAAAAAAATCCTCAAGTTTAGGGGTTTCAAAATTCACTGATCGAGAATAAGTGTTAAGGTATTGCTTAAAACAATGCCAAGTGAGGGGCTGAATATTTGTAAATTTTGACCTTTCCTTGTCATTCAGTAATTTCTTCCTGCATCCAAACAGTTCAAGTATTTTTGATTTTGTAATGGAAATACCTTCAAATTTCTAGTTTCTCCCTATGAGGTATGTGCTCTATTCTCAAAGTTTAAACGTTGCCTCATGTCGAGGTAAGGCATATTTGTGAAACTGTGCGCTCAGTCAATTTGTAATTGAATCAGTGAGAACGAAAACACACCAACTTGAAAAAATGAAAATAATCACGACTCCCACAAAACTGCACAGTAGGTGAAGAAGTTAGTCTGTTCGTCTGAGAAAAAGACTTTTGGTGCCGAGAGATAAGTACTTAAGGACATCTGAAAGGTCCAAGTTGGAACAGATGCGCCAAGTCCATTGACCTGTAGGAAAGTTGACTGTCTTTAATGAAAATTGACCCTTTTTCGAGTTACTAAGTTTGTGTGTTTTCATTCTCACTGATTCAATTGTTGTCTAAGCTTTTTCTGTTTATTTGACTGGCATGAAAATATTAAATTGGTCTCATGTTTGTATGAACTTTTCAATATTTTTTATGACATTGCTCATCCTCATTATAATCATATTGATGCATTCTAAGTACCTAGCAAAGCATAAGAATTTTGTTTTTGATTTTTGATTAGAGCATAGTTGGCCATGAGATGAGACCTGTTAGGTTGATGCTTTTTGTCCTCTTTTAATTTATATGCAAGAGTTTCATGTTTCTCATATTATTTCTAGCATATAGATAAAATCAACTTTCGCAGCAGTTTTATCAGCAGCGAAGTAACCAAATTGATCTGCCTGGTAGTGCATGATGTCCGGATCAACAAAGATGTTGTCTACCAAAATTTGGACGAAGAAACAGAGAGTCAAGATTTTGGAACTGATGTATCTTTTCACGATAAAAAGATACCTCCCTCCATCATAATACTAGCTCAAGTAGGTATTGTAGAAACTGCTTTGTCACCACATACTACATACTGCTATATGGGGAATATAAATTTTAAAAATCCATCAAAATCCTGCACATCCAGGGATCAGAGAAAAGCAATGCTGATTAATGCTCCATTTTTTTGTCTTGCAAATTTTAAATGATTTATAATATTTCTTATATATTTTGAGACATGGCGAATGGTTGGCTGAAGTATTTCAATTTTAATCCATGTTCTTTTTTAGTTTTATTCCCTCCATTCTGGTTGTAGATACTAGATATAACGGGCTTAAAGGACAAGGTGCATAAGTGCAGTTTTGGCTATTTCGAGAAATTCGTGTTTGAAGTTTCGAAATTACATGGATCCTTATGGTGGGAAGAAAGTTCAAACTGACTTTTTGATGCTTAAAAATTGGAATTTAGGAGCGAATTTTTCACAGAATATACATTAAGACAAGTCCTACTGGAAATCATCAATATCTCAATTATTTCAAAAACTACATGGATGCGCCTTGTCCTCCAAGCCCCTCACATTTATTTGTAATTATTATTTTTCAATATTATTTGTAATTATTCAATATTATCAACCAGTAACCCCCCTACACACATGTTTTATTTTTTTTTGTAACATATGGACACTTCTCGTCCATTGTATACATTTTGTGTTGTTTTTACAACATTTATTTTACACATATAATTACATATACAATACATGTATGCAATGTAATAATACATTTTGAGTTGTTTTTGTGTTGTTTATTTTACTTGGCTGACTTTTGTCAGCCAAATAAACTGTGATTTTGACCTGAGCTCACCTAACTAGAGGGAGAAAATAATCACTCTTATTTGCTTAATTTAAGGCAGAGTGTTTCTGATGCTCAGAAACTTCAACAACCTAACCGGTAGTTTCTATCTCCAGTAATTTTTGTTTTAGGTTTTCGCCCAAATGATTTCTTGCTCATTTTTCATCTGACCAATTCATTGTTCTTGTAATTTGTGTTTCAGTTCTTATCGGTACACATTCGAACAATAACAGCTGCTCTTTTCCGTCCAGAATCTCCTGAGTGGTTGATTCATGCAACTGCTAATGATGTACACCTAGATGTTTCCATTGTACGAAGTGCTCGGACCTTATTAGCAAACCTTACCACAACATCAGCATCAGCAAAGTTGTTCAGAGATGCCCCGCCACTTTCAGCTTTACCATTTAACAAACCACGACCCGCCACATGTTTAGCTGAGCTATCTGTTGCTTTAACTGCTGAATCAACAGTCATGGCACAAGGACCTTTCTCTGTTGAGGTAATGTAAAGTTCTTTATTTCTCAACTTAAATTATTGTCAATTAGTCCAGAAAATCTAAGGAATGAAAAAAAGGTATATATTTATAAATTAAAAGTAAAAAGGACATACTTCCTAACTGGCTCCAGGATTTGTCCAGGAAGTTCGTACATTCAACGATAGTCAACAGGAGTCAATACTTTCAAGTACTAACATGCAGTTTATCAGCTCCTTTTCAAACGGCTTTAGTTATTTTTTGTTTTGTATTCTAGTGTCTTGGGATTTTTTTGGGTCAAAACTCAATGGAAAGCCTCTTTTGCCCATGGTTTTATTGTTAAATCTCTCATTTGTAATAAAGATTCAAAATTGGTATTTCTTCATCCTATCATCATATTTCGCCTTTTTCTATCCATATTCATATGCAGATAAGAGGAAGAGAAGTTGTTGGAGTAGGTTGGGTTTATACAAGGATTAGAAGTCCAAAAATCATTTTTAAGAAATTGCTGCCAACAGAAGTTTTTTTTTTCCCCGCAAGTAGACTGTATTTTGCAAAAAATTGCTTCTCCATTCTTTTGACTTTCAGCTCTGAAAATATTCTTTTTCTTGGGTATTCGTGATTTTTATCAAAATGAGCTTTTAAGGAGTTGATATAAAAAACATGTCTACTAGTGTAATGTTTCAATATGGTATAAAGGAAACTAATTTGGTCTCAAGATTATGACTATTGGGAGAAAACTGCCGTCTATTGTGTTTGAAGTAAACTTTGATTATAGGTTAGAACTTTCATAGCTTCTGGATCTCAAGTAAATTCTGTAAGTTATTTTTCTCCTTTTTAGAGACTGAGTATTGATTTTTTTGTTTTTCTCTTTATTCATTCCAGAAGTTGTACGTAGGTTTAGAGCATACGAAAGCAATATTCAATGAAGGTTTCTATAGCTTTGCCCAAGAAAGGAAACAACAACAAAAAGGAAGCACAGGGACAAGTGTGAAAAATGACGTAAACAAGAGACTAGGCAAACCTTCGTCAGCACCTCCTCATGACCAGTCTGGTCTGGAGAAACTGGCAAAATTTTCACCGATAATACCAAAAAGCTTCATTTTAAGTCTTCAGAATGGCGTTCTGACGGGTATGAAGGGAAGCATGGAGACGGAGTTGAGTGCATCTTTACGATTGTTACACATAGAAACAAAGTTTTCTTTGATTCCTCCTAAAAAATCCAAGATCCCATCAATGTTACCGTTTGTAAGCCTGTCCGTTGCGGTGGATGCCCTTCATTGCCGAGGACGCTATGATAAGATTCTAGAGCTGCGGAAACTTTCTATTGAAACTAAATTAGAGGATCGAGAACTATCCTTACTTTTCTCATTGAATACTCTCTTGATAGTCTACAATCACAAGGATATTCATACATGGCTTACAACAGATCTTCTTAGAAGTACTTCTCTGAAGGTAAAGTGTAGCTAATACTTTACATTCTGAATCTGCTTTTTTGTGAATTTATGTAATGTTTTGAATTTTTCAAATGTTTTAATTTTTGACTTGAGAAAAAAGAGGAAGAAAGTACTTAGACATAACAGTTTGTTTACTTTTGAATACTTTAATGTATGTGTTTAAGGTGATAACAAACCTTGTATGGGAATCAACCTTCAGTCAAATTGATGAAATTTTAATGAACTTGTTACTATCCAACTGAAACAAGTGCCTCTATCAAAAACTGGAATAAAAGAGTCAGAATTCAATTCCCTGTCAATAATCTCTTATTTTTTTAAAACAAATCTAAGCCCTTTTGAGAGAAACAATGGTATTAAATGAGTCTCCTCTATTACCAACCCTCTAATCTATTTCTATATTTTTCTTTTTACAGTTGAAAAATAGCGAAATGATGGATTCCAGCTCAGTGGTTGAAAGACATTCTTGGTTAAGGGGTGTTTCAATTGATTGCACGGCTGAAATGTGGAATGTAATGTCCTTTTTAAAATTTTCTCGATCTTCCAATGCAAATCCTGTAATTGGATTCAGCAAATCAAAATTTACGCTCTCCTGTGATCCTGTATCCTCGGGTATGTCACTCAAAATATTCTTCTTTTCAAGTCTGCAATGACTAACGATCAAGATAGGCCTTATGACTGTCTAGTCGTTACTGCCACAGTGAAAAGGATTATTCATCCAATGTCATTTTCAGCCAAAAACATCCAGAAATTTACTTAAAACTAGCCATACAGGAACGATTTTTAGTTAGAGCTGAGAATGCAGAAAGCACTCAAAGTTGATCATCTACACCTTTTTAGCCACTAAAAAAAAACAATTTCTCGTGAAGGAAGTTTAAAATACTACCTTTTCCAGGTCTCCCCAAACACTTTTAAAAGAAGGTCCTATGAACCATTTAGTTTTTAAAATTGGAAAGATGGAATATAAACTCAAATTGCACTCTGCAGTACAGAAAAGTTTTCTTTGGAAATTGAGAAAGCAATTTTCTTCTGTCGAAGGATGACAACATCCGGCTTCATTTTTATTAGGAATCTGCTTTGAATGCATTTCACCAATGGCTTTTTTTGTGACTGCTTTGCATATATATACCATAACTTTTTGTAATGTTTACTCATCAAGAATAATTAAAATTTCTTCCCCTTGTGTTGCTTTTGTGTCCGAAATGGGTTATTTTCCACTTAATCAAACAATGGCACCATGCGTGGTAGGTGATCTGGATTTTTATTTTTTGCAGCTCATCACAATTTAAAAAGAATAATAAAATGGTACATTAGTTTAGCGTAGGTACCTACAATTTGAGTTATTCAAACCTAGGTCGTTTGATTTTTGCAAGGTTTTTTAATATGCCTAGCTTTATTTTATTTTATTTTTTTATTATTATTATTACATTTACATTAAAGTATAAAAATGCCACTTGTTGTGACTCAACATACTTGCCAATAAACCCCCCAAAATTTACATTTTAACTATCATTATAGAAATCATTTAATGAATAATAGGCCTTTTCAACTATCAAGGTTTTCAGGCCCTTCAGAAAAGCACTCACCCCCTCATTTTACAATAACCCTCTCAAGTTCAAGGGAAGGTTGTTGATCAGCCTGATGGCAGTATGTAACACAGACTGTTCAGCAACCTTCAGGCGGGCGATTTCATAATCAATGGAAGGATTTCTCATGTTTTTGATCATGCCATTAGTGATCAACCCGATGTCAATAGTAAATTTAAGACTATCTAGAATAAAGAGAGAGGGAAGTGTAAAGAGTCGGTGCTTTTTACAATTGTAATTGAATGAATTATTAAAGAGAAATATATTATCAATGTTTGGATGATAATATATTTCTATTCTTCAACAGCCTCAATTCAACAAGAACCTCTTTTATGATTACAGATTCTAGCCCAGATGACTCTGCAAGATACATGATAGAGTCCCTGCCTCTAAATTTATCCAAACGTTGTTGGAACTCGGAACTGCTGGTGGAAACACTGTGGTTCAGTCTCAAGTATTCAACCGATTTCTCTAGTGGACCTTTGAAAAAGTATCACTTGTGGGGCACGCCCCTATTTCTTGGAGTTGCCTTAATTAAAGTGAAAGGTCGACTACCTCCCAATACACCAAAGATAAATGCTATGTTAGATACTTTTCGCTTTGAGTGGAGTCCTCCATTGGCTGCAATTATCATTTTAATAACCAAGTGAGTACTCTTCTGTTTAATTTTTATCATTGTGTTGACCACACGATTTTCTATGATCACATAAGTTTCTCTCATGAGTCAAAATTTAGACCCCATGAGTTGCAAACTTGAATTTCCTACGATAAAATGGCAATTTAGGATTTTCATCCCATATGTTGGTGCTTATCTACCGAATTAGCTGCAATTTTAGATTTTTGAGTCCAATAATGTACCTAAAAACACATCATGAAGGGTGGGTCTAGGAAGGAAAGTCATGATGCATTCTTCAAAGTATTCTGGATCAAACTATTCACAGGGTGATCTAGTCCACCCACACAGGCACCTACCCCTAGGTACCAGGCTACACAGAGGACCATCTCTGAATTCCTTAAGGATTAATTATCCAGAAAAATAACTTTTCTTCAAACTTCTATGTCAGTGACCTGGGATCTGGTATTTTCTGAAAGGGGGCTCGGTTTCTTTAAAGGGTTAGTTTTTCAGACACCGCCATGGGTAAATTTTGGACTTTTTGGAGTTGCTGTTGGTTAAAATTTACTCTCTGATTCTGAAAAATGTAATTCGACAATTTGTTAGAGCCCTGACTCTTAAAATCGGGATCCTTTTCATTGGCTAAGAGGAGCCGGGCATGCCTTGGGCGATGAAATTTGGGCTCCTTGAGGTAGATTTCCAGTTCGTTTTAGAGGTCGACAACTTTCTCAGATCAAAGAGCAAATCTCTCTCTATCCCTGTCTCCATCCATATTGTGAAAACCTTAAAAATACTGAAAAGTCAGTATCCTATTTCATCTAATCAATGATTCTTTTTTCATTTTGGTAGGTGTGTCAGTGACTATCAACTAACAAACCCCTCAAAAATTATTCCACTAGAAAAAACACAAAAAGAAAAGCATCTGCCCACACTGTTTGTGGTCGGAGTGACAGTAACCAATTTCAATGGATTCCTCATCGCAGATAAAAAAGGTAAACCAGCAACAAGCCATGACTTTGAGATGGTGATTTAGCAGTATGTGGAGAACCAATCACATCTCTTATATGAGCCTATATATGTAGTACTCCACACCCTCATTTTTGCATTAATGCTCATTAGTACTAATTTTATGCCTTCAATCATGATTTTTGGAATTTTTTGGCTTTGTTTTTCCTGTAGAAAAGAGTGAATTGGGCACTATTCTTCTATCCTGTTACTTACAGTATTCGGGCCAGATATAGAGTGATATTTTTTTGTCTACTGCTACATAACATGGTTTTTTCCCACGTTTATTCGTGACATTTTTTATAGAATTCTTTCTTTTTTTAAGAAGAAAAGTATAATAATATTGAAAATGTTATTTTTTCAGTTTGCATCATGGCCAGAGTTGACTCAATCACTTTTGAAAGTGGAACAACAAAACAAAACTTTGCCCTGTCTGGAGCCCGTTTAGTTTCTATGTGTCCAACTCAAGCCCAGTTTATCTGTCATCGCTATCATGATGTTAAGGTGAGTAGATATATGTATCTGGTCTTAATTTTTTATAACTCACCCTTGTTACGTCTGTTTTTGGTCTAATCTGAAAGAGGCAAAAAGAAATTTTAATCATAGCGGAGGATCAAAAGAGCTCGGATTTTCTTTCCTTAAGTAAAGTTAAGATATGCAGATCTTTATAATGTAGAATGAAACTCAACATGAAGTTCAGTCTTTATGACCAAAATTCTTTGAATTGATAATTCATTTTATCCATCATTTTAAAACAATCAACTTTTGAAGAAAAATATCTTGTTACCATCGCATATGGAGCCATATCTGTAAAAACAGCGGAAATCAAACATCCGCCTTTTTTAGGGATAACGTCTTTTTTGATTCTGCAAACCTTCAAGAGTGTAGGTACCAAGTTCCAATCTTCCGGCATAATTTTTATTAAGATGTGAATAAAAATCCGTGCTATCTTTAAAAACAGCGGATGTCAAAATTTGTTGAAATAATACATTTTGAGCTAAATAATTCGCTAAAGCTCATTAATCTTGTTTAGGATCTTATAGTATTTAATAGGTATTTAATTTTATAGTATTAATAGTAATAAAAGTTAATAAGACATATTGTATGTAGGTCTTTGGGAGATGGCACCCTTTTTAATTTGTTCCTGTATTTTAAAAGATCGATAATATAGTTTGTTCTTTATTCTTTTTGGAAGTTATCAAATATTTATTTTTTTCGAAAAAACAAGAAGAAACTTAACAGTAATTCAAAATTGCTGTGCTCTATAATGAATTCCTTGGCTGAATCCAATTTGCTGCGTGGAAATCAAAATGCACAGCTTTGAAAACTTTAAACGCGATTTCCTCAAAATTTAGAAATGCAACATTCGCTGTTCTTGTACATAAAGCTTCATATACTCTTTTTGTGTATAGACAGATTTGTTTATTTCTTATTGTATCTCTGTTTACCATTGTTTTCCTCTGCTAATTTGCTCATGATTTCTGCGTATTACTTTTTTCAGTCAGCATTTGGGAATATCAAGTTGGCTCGTTTGGAATGGAAAGGGAGTAGCAATCAATTCACGGTTGAACTTTTAGAAGAAATGGAAGCTCACTGGAGTCCAAACTTGCATCTGAAATTCCTTACATTGGTGGAAGAATTCCTAGACTTCTCAAACAATTTAGGTATCTTCCCTCAGTTCCTAAATTTTCATTTATGTCTCTGGAATCTGTTTTTGTTTTTTTTTGAACGATTCAGTCGTAAGTAGAATAGGAAGAGTATGGACAACTCGAAAATTTGGAGGCTAGGTTTGGTCAGGCCATGTAGCTCTTGGGGCCCAAAAGGGCTGCCAACCTATGAACTCGTATGATCCAGTGGTACTAATGTTCATAATTCTTACCACCCGTTGTTTCATAACTGATCAAAAATTACTCATAAAACTTTGATTTCGTGTACATTTTCTCAGTTTCAAAGTCTTAATCCTTAAAAACTATTGTTTACAATGCACTGTTGGCCGCATTGATTAATCTTTCAATAGCATAGGTTGGCAGTGGCACTTCTCTAGTGATTTTTGTTTTACGTGTTGTCGTCCTCTTGGGCCCTAAGAGCTTTATATATCGAGTTGTCCATACTCTCCCTATAAAGGTACTCTAGTCCAAAGTTAAGTAATCCATAGAGGAGTCCTAAGCCAAGTTGTTGTCTAATAATGTTTTTTTCGCCATCGCTAGGATTTATTATGTAATAATTAAAGACGTTTCAATTTGGATGTGGGTCCTCAGTACTGTCCTCAAGGAAAGGGACTACTAAGTGCCCATTATTACGTAACAATCCTGTTTTAAAAATTGCCTAACTTGGTTCAAAAATTGATGAAAATACGGCAGGACGGGTTTATCTCTTTTCTAGGGTTCCATAATTCATGATGAGAAATCCAAGTCTATGTCATGGATAACTTATAAGGGAGGGGGAGGGGGTAAAATAATAGGAAAATTGCATTTAAGTAACATGCACTTCAAATGCCACTTAATTGAAAAAACTCTGGACTGACGGTGAGATGTATCCTATTGTTGCATGATCTCAAATATTGAATAATAGATTCGTCTTGACCAAACTTGATTCCTTTGGTTTTAGATTCCTTCAGCTCTATGTCATGCTTCTTAAATACTAAAGTGCCCCCAAAGACTAACTACCAACTTCTGAATGGTTTTTACTCTTATTAAACTGAAATAAAATTCGTCTTTACCATTTGAATGTGATGATAGGCTCCTCCTGGAATCCAGGCATCCCTCCAGAGATTTAAAAATAAAACTGTGTACTAGAGGGTTTGCCTTCTGGCCACTTTGGAGCTTTTCCTCCCCCGTGAGAGGCCTCATTGATTCTTTGTATGAAAAAGAAACGTAGCAAATGAAAAATTAACAACTTAACATAATACAATATTGTTTGTAAAAACCATGATAAGTATTTGGCCTCAAAATTTATGGCTGCCACTGAAGTTATTCTCCCTATTTTTAACAGTTTCAGAGACTTTTGCCTCTAATTTCACTCATGCCGCCGATGATGATTCTAAAAAACAATGGAATGTTCAGGTGCGGGTAAAAGCGAAAATGAAAATCGGCTTGATTTTGTCAAAGGAGCATCATCTACATTTAACTTCTGGTATGTAAAAAGTTTAATACTGTATTTTAAATTTTAGGTAATGTATTGAAAACTTTATGTCCGCAGTTTTAGGAGGAGAGCTTAAGCTCCTCCATTTTAGTGTCAGAAGGAAAATCCATTGGTCTCAACTTGGTCTTTCCAATTTTTCAGAAAAACTTTACTTTTTTCACCACTGCTATGACTTGAAAAGGCCGGTACATATTTTACTAGCATTAATATAAAAGTTTCAATACAAAGGTTGCACCAAAGAATGTGTCACTTTAGATCAAGTTGGATTCACACAATAAAGTGTGATTTAATTTTAACCGTTGCCAAATATTGGAGAGTAAGCTATATTTCACCCCTTTTGATTACCCGATACTCAACAGTTGCTCCAAGTTTCAAGTCAATTTTCTTGATACTTTTCTCTCACTCTTTTTAACACGTTCATTTTCAGGATCATTTCTTGAAAAGACAAGTCTTCTATTCAGATTTTCTGCCAAGTATTACAAAGAACATAGCTAGAAAAACTGTTTTATACTTTCAATTATTTTACAAGTGCCATGTTCTGTGGTGTTGCTTGATTCATTATTATTTATCAATCATTGGTTTTTTATGTCAAATCTGAAGTTAAAAGGGATACAAACTCCTAAAGAAGCAGCTGCAATAAAGCTTTTTGTCGATTCATGGAACCAAAATTACGACCAACACAGTCCTTAAATGATAGTGATGACAAAACGGTTATCAGAGCTTAATTTCCAAAACCATCTAAAGTGGTCAGGTCGAAGAGCCTTTTTGATAGTTATCCAGTAATGCTCTTTGAGTCAATTGTAGATTACCAGCGCTTTGAAAAAAAATCATCTGGATGACTGTTGAGCGAGGATTTTGAGCAGTTTTAATGAATTTTTTTCTATCATGCACAGGGAACGTTACATACAGAAGAAGTGGAGATCAAATTAACATAGAAACTACGCAGTTTGATATTGCAGTTGATGGTTGCGACATCTTTATGGTAGAGAACTTACAAGTAACCAAAATTCATGACAGCGAGGTTGTGAAGGTAGAACGCGCTAACTGTGAAGGTTTTCATCTTCCATGGAATAATACTTGGTAATGTATTTGCGAAAAAATATTTGATGTCTTTCGTTTTTCCTCTTTATTTTCGTTTTTACCACATCATATGTTTTTGATATTTTAAGAATTAGCACCTCAGAACAATCATTTTTTTTTTCTTTTTACATATTTTAAGCATTCTTTTTAGTTTATCAATCGGAGTGGTTTAATTTTTTTTAAAGTACTCATAGACTCTTTATCTGCAACTATACCAGTTATTTTCTTGTCAAACTGTTCTGACAAGTAAATTCAACTAAAGTGATTTATATTCTGGAGTTGCTGTGATTTGATATGTTTATATTCTATCTCTTCCAGGGGTATCGCCATTCGATCTCTAAAAGCAATTTTTCCCCACGAGCATAACTTTGCCTCTGCAGTTCAAAATGAACTCTTCAGTATCATTAAATGGTTGAAATTGATACATAAAAAACCAGCCCCGAAAGATGAATTATCTCCATTACCATGTGATCTTATTATCAAGGTAAGTCGGAACTTGTAATGGAACAGGTGGTTAAACGTTATATTTTTGGAAAAAGTAGATCACAAGCTGATTGAAAATTCATCCAGTCCTAAAAATAGAGCAAAAATCCTAGATGTTAAGGATGATTTCAGAATCATTACCACAAGCTCTCTGAGCCCCTAAATTTTCATCGCTTTCCACAGTTCATTCTATCATTCTACTGGGCCAATTTCCATGTTTTTTGTGGCTTTTGACTGGTGACAGTCCTTAAATGAGCCTGCTCCACCCAGATTTTAGAATTCTGACCCAATTTTTTTTATGTTGCATGATAAAGTTGTGAATTTCTTCATTTAAACAGTTGAATTGTCAACTTTTATCGCAGTTCCTTACAAAGATCTACCATGCCACTTTTCTTGATTTTTGCGGTTATCAATAAAAGTGCCCTATGGAGGTTGGGCAGCACTATGGCCAAGGAGCGTATCCCTAGTATTGTGCTATTCTCTTAAATTCTGTGAACCTTCCTAAAAATTCAGAGTTCTTTTTTCCTTCAAAGGTCTTTTTTTTTGATTCAGCAGAAATTGTCTGAATTTTTTACCTACGTAAATCAGTTGAAATATCTATACAGGGTGATCCAAAAGTCCCTTCCACCCCCTCTAACTTTTTACCTAATTGAGGTAAAGATTTGAAACTTGGGGGATATTCCTAGGTCAAAGGGAGCTACTTTTTGGCCCCCCTAAAATTTTCAGGGGGCTCCCCTTGGGGGGGGGCAACGGCCCCCAACTTTTAATTTTCAAATGGGAAGACCCCCTTTGTGATAGCTCGTTCGAAAGAGCATAAAAAAAGAAAACTTTTCGCGCAAACCCGAAGTCAATATCTCAAACCGTTTCAAAATGGCGGCCGGTTAAAGTTCAAAATGGCCGAAAATTCACACCGGTTATTTGTCGATGGATTTGCGCGAAAATCGGTATGTAGGGAAATTTTGACACGAGAAAAACGAATTTGACGTTAGATTTTCAAAAAAACCGAAATTTCCAAAATGGCCGCCGGTTAAAGTTTAAAATGGCCGAAAACTGTCACCTCGGTTTTTTGCTGATGGATTTGCCTAAAACTTGGAATTTGAGAGTATTTTGGCATAAGATAAACAAATTTGAACTTAGATTTCTAAAAAATCAATTTTTTGTCATTTGAACTTTAACCGGCGGCCATTTTGGAAATTTCGGTTTTTTTGAAAATCTAACGTCAAATTCGTTTTTCTCGTGTCAAAATACCCCTACATACCGATTTTCGCGCAAATGCATCGACAAATAACCGGTGTGAATTTTCGGCCATTTTGAACTTTAACCGGCCGCCATTTTGAAACGGTTTTAGATATTGACTTCGGGTTTGCGCGAAAAGTTTTCTTTTTTTATGCTCTTTCGAACGAGCTATCACAAAGGGGGTCTTCCCATTTGAAAATTAAAAGTTGGGGGCCGTTGCCCCCCCAAGGGGGGCCCCCTGAAAATTTTAGGGGGGCCAAAAAGTAGCTCCCTTTGACCTAGGAATATCCCCCAAGTTTCAAATCTTTACCTCAATTAGGTAAAAAGTTAGAGGGGGTGGAAGGGACTTTTGGATCACCCTGTATGGTTGAAGGAAATGTAAGAAGCCTGGATCAACTAGGTAAATTATTCACCCTTATTTTGCTGTTTTTTTTTTTTTCAGTCATTTAAGGAAGTATACATTGGTTTTTCAATTTCAATGCAATAACATTTATTTGCTTCTCATTTTCTAGATAAAAGAATTTATGTTCGAAATGAGTGATGATCCATTTGAAGTGCATTTGCGTGATAACTATGAATTATTAGAGGACGAATACAAAGAGAGTTTGAAGAGGCAAAAAATGCTTGAAGCAAAGGTACGTATAAAATATCCAAACGATCATCAAGTACAGTTTTTATACACTGAAGCTACTGAATTGCAATCGCAAGCGCTGTGGGCTGTGGCCCCTGGGATGTGATGTCTCGTTTTATGTACATCTATGGGTGAAGAGGGCTGAGAAGTTTTTTGTTAATTTTGAGTTAAACAAATCTTTTTGCAATTTTCAGTTTCAAATTTATTGCTGAATAAAACGTTGATGTAGCCTATTAAATCAAATAAACATGCCTCAATGGATAAATTACAGAGGGTTCAGAAATTACAAGTGTAAAGAAGAAATCCTTGAGTCTGTTAGGAACTTTTTAAATTGAATTTGTTTGTTTCAAAGCAAAAATGAGAAGGAAAAGAAAAGGCATTAGTTTTAGAAATATGTTTACATAACCCCTACTCTTAAAATTTTTGCAGAGGGAGAATACTTCCCGAGAGTGAGGAATTTTCAAAGCCAAATCTGCGACTGGTTTTTGCCTAGAAAACTTTCTGCATTGCTAGGCAGGAGAAATCCCTCATAATCTATACCAAGTAATAATCTTCGAACTTGTCTCCTTGTCAATTTTGAATTTTGTTCTTAAATTGTAAGTCTAATTTTCTGCATTTTTTCAGCTGGCCAAGTACTTTGAAGCCCATGTTTTGATGCCAGCCAACAAAGTCGAGGAGCTGTACAACAACCTCAACAAGCTTAACGCTCAGATTTACATTCAAAGATCAAAGCAGATGAAAACACAGTTGCCTGTGCGGACACGGCTATTTGCTTGGCTCATGACTGATTTGGAAATTATCATTCTTGCAGACCCCTCCCTCCATGGTCCAGAAAACGTTGTCAAAATAATGACAGAGATTGATACTGACACGTAAGATTCTTCATCCAATCATATCAATTCTTAGATATCTAAAGTAAAAAACTACAGACATCAAACTTAAACACCTTTGTCTGTGGATCATTAGAGCCAAGGGGTAAAAGCAAAAAAGATCCAATTTTGCTCGCAGCGGACGCCTTTGAGACGTGCCACATTCTATCAGCAGACAATGCCTTGGCTTTTTTCAAAGTTTTAATCCTCCCAAAAGTATTGGGATCAAACAAAGGGGCAGCTGTCTTGGCCAAAATTGGCAAAATTTTCGCGAAATATATATTTGAGAACTAGGAAGTTTTGCTCAAAAAGTGCTTGAATTTTGGTCTTTCACATTGTAGAATTATGTTTACACTGAAATTACACCCTGAATTTAGGATCAATTCAAAAGAGAGCTCAAAATACTTCAGAGGCTTCGGATTCTAATGAGTATTGAAGTGATTTCTGTGTGCCTCTTATTATTCCCACACCTAGCGATGATATCATCTTCTAATTTCGTTTACATCCCTATTTGATGTATATTATCAATCCTGAACTATTGGGCCTATTTCTTTTTTTAAATATTTATCCCAGCGTAGATAGTTGCCTAGCAAAATCCTGTTGTTAATGCAATTATGGTAAATGAGAATTCTATTTAGTGGTATTTTTCTCTCCAGTCCTTGGCCAGCGGAAGGTGTGGAGTTCACGACTCTCTGGTGTCGGTCTATCGCTGTGAGTTGTCATGAATGGAAGTTCCAGCTGAGAGATTTCCCTCAGCCGTGGTTGGACATCAAACAGCTACATCTGTGGGGTTGTTTGGTTGGAGCAGAACAGTTGGCATCTGAACGAGGTAACTTTTTTCTCATCCACAGTGTAATCTACAACCTTGATTTTTTTAATTTATTTTTTTAAAAGTGCTTTTCGTATAAGTAACTTCTTATTAATCTCATAGTCTAAGTTTAACTCTGTATGACTTTTCTTTAGCCTCAGGTCTACAATCACCTTGAAGATGAATATTTTGACTGCATTGTAGTAAAAGCTCTGGAGGAAAATTTCAAACAGCTAGCCAAGGGCACTTTTGAACTTGAATTTAGAAAGTGGCAAAAGCATCAGAAAAAATGTATTACATTTCAATGTGATCAAATTGAGAGTCAAAAAACTGTAATTGACAAAATTTTGTAAAAAAATTCATAAAATTGTTTTTTGCACAATTTTTTTTGTAAAATTTCCAACTGTCTTTATTGAACACTCATTTTAAATCTATAAAGTAATCTTCAACTGTTCTCATTCTTATAATAGAATTGTTTGCTTTTCAGCGAGACGTGGAGTAATGATAGAACTTGGAGATCCTTATGGAGAAGTTACTATCGAAAGAAGTATGACCTCCCTCAAATTTTACCACGATTTCAACTGTGATGTAGAACATTACAGCTATGCATTTGGACCTTGTTGGGAACCTGTAATTGCACAATGCAATTTGTGTAAGTATCCTGTTTTGGATAAATTACATATCGACGGTGTGAGTCGGCAATCACATAACTCGTATGCGGTGTCTGAAAATCTCTGCCTCTATGTTATTTTTTTAAAGGAGAACGAATTGACATCATTCCTTGAAGTTTATGCAGAATTTTCTTCAAACAGAGAATAAAAATCATGGCAGTTTTAAAGAATTACCGATGAGTAGTTTTCCGTTTAAAAAATAAACTATGACAGGAAGTCTGCGACGTCACAAACCGAGTTATGTGATTGCCGACTTACACCGTCGATATCCTCTTATTGTTAGTATTAAATGACGAAAGAGTGACCTTTGCCAGACTTTGAGCTCTGAAAAATGTTTTTTCTGACCCTACTTCCCATCCTTTATCAGGCTTACAGAGGGTCAAAAAAATGTATCATTTAGACCTGTTGGACGATGGAAATTTTCCTCTCCAACCCCCTCCATTTATGGTCATTGCCTCTTTGTAGCAAGTCTACTGATCAGAAATTTTAGGTACCCCGAACGGTGATAGTGATGATTCTGAGCTAAGAAAAATCAATTTGGTACTAATTTTTACAATCCACAAGATGCGTCTTAAAACTTTCCAAAGTGCTCAAGGGAAAATGCAAATATTTGAGCAATTGATTCAGAAAAGTCCAAAACCACAATGCTTTGCACAAGCTGAAAATATGTATTAAGCTGAAAAAAATATCTACTGAATAACATTCCTTCTAGTTTTTATAGGTTTCAAGAAAAAGTAAGAAAATACGTTTTCTGAACAACCCTCTATCTCATGCTGATATTCATTATGAGATCTTTCTAATGAGAATTTTCTTACTCTAAAATTACATCAATTACGGTGGAATATTTTCCAAACCTATTTTTATATTTTTGTTTTAGGCTTAGAAAAAATTTTTAGTCCATCCCGAGATCCGAGCCCGCCTTTACCATGGTGGGATAAAATGCGACTCTTGTATCATGGACGCCTAACAATGGTCATTCGACAACTAACGGTATTACTGCACGCTTCATTAGATCCTTACAATACTATGGAGGAGATGGAGGTAACGTGGACGTATGTTGCCATGGATTGGACGAACGCAAAATTTATTTTTAAAGGAGATTTTGATGTGTTTGTGCGAACTGCTTCCAAATATGATGACTGTAGATTGTTACACTTACCAAATCTAAAATTAAATATAAAATTAACCTGGCGGTGTGTGGGTGATCCAAATGATCATCACTCTGTCATGCCCTGTGCCCCAGATAAATTGCCAGAATATTCCTCAAACCAAGAGCATGACTCATTCCGATCATTCCGTTCTCAAAATTTAAATGTGAGTCTCAGTTTTGAGACAAAACCAAACCCAAACTCGCAGAATGAACTTGATTGTCCAATCGCCTTGTTGTATGGGAGCACCTTTAGGTGGTTTGAAAATTTGAAATTAATTTTGTCAGGAGTTACACGTCCAACTCGGCGAGGAACAATATTTTCACAAGTTGTTCGACCTCGAAAATTACCTCTAAGTAGACACTACAAAAGAATTCACTTGTCTTTTGGGCTACATTGCTTCCAAATTCATTACTGGATGTCATTCTCAATGCAAAGGGGGTTGGAGATTCAAGGACAGAGGATTTCTTATAGCTCGGAGTATATGTTGAATTTGGTGCCAGTTGAAGATGGCTTGAAACATCGACCACGACCAGTGTGGGCCATCATGTATATGAACTGCGAGCTGAATGATGCAGAAGTTTGGTTAAAAAGTGCCCTTAAACAAGAAAATGGAAAAGAATTAGTTTCGTTTCGACAGCCTGTTGAAAAGTGTTACTGTTTAAGTGTGGGTAAAGTTTGTTATGGCCGTGAAACGACCGTTCCAAATAACTGTAGTAGTAACAATGAAGATACTCCCACTCACCGCCTGGTGGTATATCATCTACGAGGTGCATGGACAACAAGTAACCGAGACGTTGCGTTTGCTCTTTTTGATAGCTTTATGAAAACAAAACAAATTAAAAAGAATCTATCGACGGAGGCTCTGAAGGTATTCAGAAGCACAGATGGGAACACCCCTCATAAATCGCGGACGCGAGGAATGGAAGGGCAAGCCACTCCCCCACTAACAGCAACAGCAACAAGCAATTCAATCCAGACATCGAATGCAGTACAGGCAGCTCCCTCACCCATGACCAAGTTACAGTCTGGTCACGCTGCCAATATGCTCCAGCAGCTCATCGCAGAGGCAGACAAGAAAAGTGTAGTGTTTAGTAACGACCTTTCAGCACAAACCAAGGAGCAGAATTTGCAAGGGCTGGCGGCATGTCATGAGGATGATGTTGTTCACAAAAATTGGTCCATTTCATTAGTCAACAGCCAGGTCCTGTTAAAAGGCTGCGAAACTAAGGGTTATGTCATTTTAAGCGCTGCCAAAGCAGAAATCCTACAACGGACTCACCGACCAGTCTGGAAGGATCGAACTCTCGTCTCAAAAGTAACGTGGGTTGGCTCTCTGGAGTGCATGCAGTACTATGCCACAGTAAGTGCTGGAGAAAGTGACTCTTTGACAGAGAACATAATGTGGTTGTCAGTTGAGAACATCCAGGAAGAGAATCCAACGGTCATTGTTGATTTGCCAGATGTGCCAGATCTTGTGGGCTCTGGGAAGAGTGTCGGTGGTGTTGTTAGTGAAACTGTAGGCGCAACCAGCGATCAGAATGAAGATGCTCCTTTACAGCTCCAGAGGATCGTTTCCAGGTGTAAATGTGAATTCTTTTATGCTGGTTATGGGGAACTGAGCATCGATCCGAGCACACTGAAAGAGGTGCCTCCTTATCCACCGGAAGAGTCGAGTATTCCGTGGGAACATGTCGACCATGGTGTGGATTCTTTCACCCTCATGCATCATGATCTGGATGTTTGCACAAATTCCCTACAATATGCTATGATCTTGGATATTGTGAATAATTTACTGCTTTACGTAGAACCTAGGCGGAAGGAGGCCTATGAAAGATTGCAACGAATGCGATTTCAGTTGCAATTACACTCAGTGGAGGATCAGCGTCGACCAATCCAGCAACTACAAAACGATGTCAGGGGCTTAGTTGCAAAGCTACGTCGACTCGAAAAAGAAACATATTTAGTTCAGAGAGCGATGCTTGAAGAACCAGGAAATGAAGAACTAATTCAAGACATTGAAGATTTGGAAGCTTCAGTTTTTGAATGTAAGGAGCAATTGAGTGTCAGCAGTGAGGAATTGGACATGATGCTATCATGCCACAAAGAGAAGCAACTGACTGCAAATCAAAAGTTGGCCACTCTTCAAGGCGACAAAGCTGTCACAACAGCTAGAGTCAATGAGATTTGCTTCAAGCATGCTCAGTGGAGGCTCACTCAGACTGATGGTCAGTTGGGTATCGCTGATTTAGTGCTCAGTAATTTCCTCTACACCAAAAAAACCAAAAGTGATGATTCAGTAGAGCATTTATTAGAGTTAGGTTATGTTCGCATGACAAATTTATTACCAAACCAAATTTACAAAGAGGTCATTGTACCCACGGAAATTCAGAGCAACATGCCTGTTGACCGGAAAAAAACAATTCGAGTATTCTGCCGTGAAAAAGCCCCTGTTGGTGGTATCTCGGTGAAAGAACATTTTGAAATCAACGTAGTTCCTCTAACAATAGGTTTGACAAAAAAATTTTTCAACACAATGCTCAAGTTCTGCTTTCCTGAAAAGGACCCAGAAAATATTGAGAATGACGTTCCTGAAACTGATATAGATTCAGGAACGAATAAAAAAATAAAAGGAACCACAAATACCAACAAGAAAGGGAAAGATTCTAATTTTTATGTTCCCATCGAGCAAAAGGATGATGTTGAGAAGATGAAAGAAAGAGCAGAGAAAAATAAGCTCTTCATTTATATTAAGATTCCAGAGGTTCCTGTGCGTGTAAGTTTTAAAGGAAATAAAGAGAAAAATTTGAAAGATATTCGTGATTTTAGTCTGGTTATACCAACTTTAGAGTACCACAATGTTACTTGGACATGGCTCGACTTACTTCTTGCAATGAAAAATGACAGTCGTCGTGTGATTTTGTCTCAAGCCATTACTCAAAAATTGCGCTTGAAGAGGAATGTCAATGCTACAGATGATGGGACATCACCTCAAGAAGAAGATAAAGCAAGAATGTTATTCGGCGATCGTTTAATGCCTGAAACCTCCCTAAATAAAAAAGGGTTCTTTAAATTTCAAAAGTAAAACTCTTAGAATTTCTTTTATGTTCCTAGAAGATGCAACGCCTCGGTGGTAGAATATTATTCCTACACTAGATGTTAAACATATTTTTATGGGTATAAGCTAAAGTACTTCTCTTATTATTTATATCACTCAAGCAAATGAATCATTGTCAGCAGGATTAGCTTTTCTATTTAATTGTTCTGTCAAATAGATTTTTTTAATTCATATACAAGCACAATTGTCTAAACTGAGAGAATTGCTCTAATCAGTTTGCATAAACTAATAGGAGTCTGACCTGAAAATTTTCGCTTTTTTTTTATCTATATCAAATAAAATATTCTGAGTATCTGTGGAAAGTGACCAATATGCAAAAAATTACACAGTCAAACACCAGTTGACTGAACTTTTTTTTTTTTACTAAAACATATGTATTCAAATCCATTTTTCCATTGGAAGACAAGAATCTTCAATAGATTCCTAAGGCTGTGAGTTTACGACACATTTCTTGTCATAGATATGAAGTATTGATAATATTTTTAGTTTTTTATTTGTTGATTTTATATTTGTAAGTAGAAAATTATTTTTGTACATAACAGGGGATCAAAGTTAATTATTGTTGTTCATGTGTATTTGGTGGCGAAAAATTTCAAGTTTTCACAAGTGAACGGTACGTACCTAAAATGATCAAAGCTGAAGCCCTATATCAGTATGACAAAATTTCAGTTGCGGATAACAAAAGCGCTGATTGTCTCCCCAGCAAGAGTTTAGGTAAATCTTGTTAATGGGTTGCTCTGTGGTAAGGAATATTTGTAGGGTTGTAGCATATGTATAGCTTCGCCTCATTAACATTTTGTGAAAAAACCAAAAAGTTCTGAAAATCATTCAAACAATTTATATCTAAAGGGAGAAAAAGCTAATAAAAATCCGACCAATTAAAAGCCAATAGTCTTGTTGATGTAACAAAGCAATGCCTGAAGCTGAATGTAGGCAATCAGCAAATGCTGTTTCCTTCACCTAGTTACCTCATTAGAGCCTGTCAAAAATATCCTCTCACACAGGTTGGATTTTTGGCCTTTTCAAAACAGGATCTCTTTGCCATTCAGGGTTTAAAGAAAATCCAAGAAAATTTTCAGAAACTTATAATTCACTCCGTACTTTTAGAAAATGAATTGGAAAATGGGGGTCACTGACGAATTGTGATGAGACAAATGACTATATGTGCATTGTGCAAGACAATGGAATACTAGAAGCTTTAAAAAAGGAATTTTTACACGGTGACACTGATTCGTTGTTTTGTGATTCATCTAACATTACTCGGTGCAGATTTAGAAACACTGATTTCAATAATGTTCCGCGTCTGATTATTGAAAGTTTAAATCAGTCTAATAAGCCATCTAAGTAAAATATATTGCATGATTAGATAGGGCTACGTCTTGTCTTCTTGTCCTGCCAACGTAGTTTCAACATTCGGACCGCTGACAAGAGGACCTATTTGTGACTCACTATGGAGAAAGAGGATCTTTGATCTCAGAGTAAAAGTTTGAAAAGATAGTGACTCTTGTAAACTTGGGTTTAAAAAATCGGTATTTAAATTTGTGGTAGAATAAAGCTCTTATTCTGTAGTGTCAGCAAGAGTTGTTTGATTCTGCAATTTGCCAGTAGATGTTGTGCTGAAGCATTTAAACCATCTTATTGAGCTCTGAACATGGGATGTTGAAGTGCTTTTAAATATCTCCCTTTAAGGGACTGAAATGCCTTTCCTTGGCAACCGGCTCATTTCTTCTCAAGTTTTCTGATCAAGAAACTGACAGTATGACTAAGGCTTGAAAGGAATTTCAATATCAAAACTCACCAATACCTAAAAGTAATGCAATCAAGGTTACAGTGACCCGAGTGAGACTGAGATTCAGAGCAAAAGTATAAATCATAAATTTCAAATATATTATTAGTTGACTGCAAAGTATAATTAAGTAAGAAAATCCATTAGTGATACATTGCTGTCACAAACAAAAAACCCTGTATCTTTTCACATTCTAGTTAAAAACAGCTCAGAACTCAGCCCTTATTATTTTACCACAGTTTTGTGTCATGCCAGTTCACTCTAATTATTTGATCTTTATCTTATCTTAGGTATTGTTAATTTTTTTTTGTTCAGTTGTCGTGAAAATTGTAGATTAACGATAACGTGTGCTAATGTCAAGTATTGGCTCAATATATAAAATTGACTAAAGTTGATTCTTTTCTATTATTTGCACTGTTCCCTCTTTTCCTGTAGGTATCAAAAGCTGCTGAAATACACCCTTTTCCCTAAGTTTTCATTATCATCAATTATCTAGTTTTGACTGTCTTTTAGTCAACAATGTACCACTAGACCAGGTTAGAATGAAAGTTTCGCAAGCTGCTATCTCCTGGAAATTTCTCTCAAAACAAGTTAAAATTTCGAAAAGGTCCTAAATCAACAGATAAGAAGGAAAGTAGCGTTTACATTATTGGGACCAGTAAGTGGAAACTTCCTGCTCCAAAACAAAAACCTCAATCAAAGTAAGTCAAATTGACCATTAACAAGTAATTAATCACCCGACAAATATCACAGTTTGATTCTGTAAAAGAGTCTTTTCATGCCGTAAGGCAAGTTACTAAGATTAACCAGAAAAATTCAGCCGAATGAGAAAAATATGTAACTGTAAAGTCTAAGATCAGTTCAGTGTTCAATTAGTGGCAAAGGGGAGGTTTTAACTGACTAACACCCTGACTTTTTTGTTATCTCTCTCCGTTGAAAGGCTTTTATTCGTGATTTTGATAGTGATCCCTTTCAATTCAAACTTGAATGAAGCTACAATTTTGGATCTCCCCAAATGGATTTTTTGGGAAACCATAATTTCCAATTGGATGGAGTTTACTAGAAGTGCACCGAGTCGCATCAAGTTTGAACTAAATTAGAGCTTTGAACTTTCATTACTCCATGAGACTCAATGTTGAGGACTAAGCTCAGTAACTATTTTCACTTGACTTTGAATCTTTGACAGAGGAAAATTTAAGACTACTCGAATTTTAAAATACTCCCGACTTATTCTTCCAAGATGAGGATTGATGCGTATCTGTTCAATTTAGTTCAGTTCATCTCAACCATCTGTGTTCTCTGAAGGTAGATAAGACATAACATGTGACTAAAGTTTTTTGAAGTTGACCTCTTGTCCTTAGAATACTGAAATCATGTGTGGTGGATTCATACTTTGCAGAACCTAGAGCAACCTTCAATTTTAATTTTTACATTGGTGGTTGCTGCTTTAATGTAAATTAGCTGCAAATACCAAATTTGGAATATTATTTAATGAAAGCTTGTGTTCTCTGTTTGCCTCGTCCAAAAGAAATTGACAATATTGATGGCTTCAGTCGAAAAATGGGTACCTCTGATCGCAATATTGAAAATCTCTGCTTGTGTTCTACTTTTTCAAAGAAAATCAATCACGACCTTTCCTCCAATTTTTCGAAAATATTCACATGAAATTTCAAAACAATATTTTCGTTGGTTTTTAACATAGAGATACACACTACTAAACTTGAGGCACCAATGTTTTAAAATAACGCACCAAAAGATACAATTTTTTCGTAAGTTTATCTAGCTATCAAAGGTAGATGAGGGTGCCATAGAATTATTTAACTCATTATTCAGTTTCAGAATTAACTATCCTCTTGTCCATTTCATGGAAAAGCAGAATTTTTGGTTACGAGTTCATCCCTACGGATACAGCCAAAAATTCGCACCATAGAGCTTGAGGCAGGCAGCAAAAACACATGCTAAAAGAAATTCCTTTAGACCAAATTAAAAATTGGAGAGTTTTAGTCACTCGCAACAGACTTCTTTACCCAATTTCATTTTTACCAAAAAAAAAGTCAATGCTCGAGACCTGCGTTAAAAAGAGGGGGCAGCATTAATATATCAAAGACAATAAAAGTCCTTAATAATAATATGTAAGTAAAATTTTTATTTACAATTGAACCATACAACTATTCATTAAAGAAAAAAAAACAAATTCGACAGAACTTGATGACTGTAAAAAATGCAATAAAGTAGGAGTGGAAAACTTTATTTGACTTAGTAATCCGTTATTGGACCTGCATCATAGCCTTTGAACTTCTTCTTGGCCTTAATATTGGTGACAATGGTAGAGCTTTGAGGGAAAACCGTAGTTTTGAAGAAAGAGTCATCCTCTGAAAAATACAAGATTAACAAGTTGTGGGAAGGTGCTGAAATAATAGAGTACTTTCAATTCAGAATTAGTACCAATCCAGTCTGCAATGTGGAAAAGATTAAGCTAACACTGTGGCAAAGTTATGGAAAACTGATGACTTGCAAAGACTTGATATTTGCAATGAGTAAGCTACCCTGATCATAGATCCTGTTTTGATGGTTTAAACGCCCAGATTGTTTTTCTCGTGTTTGATAGCAACTAGTAATTTACACTAGCGGATTCCTTTGCGTAGATTGAAAAATGAGCTAAGTTAGATTTCAGGGGGGAGAACCAAGAAATCAGCTAGTTCCCTTGTCAAAGAGAAGAAACCAAGAGAAATTTATTTTACATACTCTACAAAGAGTTCTGTCAGTTAACTACCCTGCAGACCCTTTGTTTTCCTCTCATTTTAGTACTGCCAATTCTTTCTGTCTGTTTAATGGATGAGCAACCCACAGGAGGTCATTTTCTGACTGAAATCTCGAGAATTACAATAATCTAATTACTATTTCAGCGCATAGGTGTGGTTAAGCTGTTGCTTTTAGATGGGCATTGCTGAGATTTCTGATGGAAGGTCCACAATGGCGTTGATAAAAAATGACCAGCAGACTTGGCTTGTTTCTTTGTGCAGCCAAGATAAAAACATTTAATAGATATTTTCTCTTGAAGACTTTTTTGTCTTCAAAGTAAATAAAGATAAAAGCTGTTAAATTATAAAATTTTACCATGGGTAGATCAATAATTGAGTTTTCAGATGATTCTTTTAATCTTGCGGACAAGTACTTCTCTTGCGCTTTTCTCATATCAATCCATTCAAATTAGATACCTACTAAAAGTATGTTATTAATAAAGATTACTAAGGACTCCAGATACCGCACGCCGTATACTTGCCGTAGGAAAGAAGCGGCCCCCCAGTCGCCTGCAGCGCCAGGGTAGGCAACCTGTGTAGCGGTATGCCATACTTTAGTCCACCTGTAATGGAAGTGCATTGGAAATTGCACTTCGAATGTGCAGATTATGAATGGCAAATTGCGAAAATTGTTCATTTTAGTCACTAGTCATGGTAAATGGACTCAGAAAATTGAGCAGAGATATTTGCATTAATTTTTTTTTTTTTTGGTTTTTGGCATTTTTTAACAATTTAAAACATGAGAAAAGTTAATACTGTGAATCATCAACCAAACTTAGCACAGCCCGGCGAAACCTACCCTGGAGCTGCAGGGGACAAGGGGACCGTTTTTTATTCCAATGCGGTATCTGGAGTCCTTAGTAATCTTTGGTTATTAAAGATTTTTTTACAGGGTTACCACTGAATTCAGAAAATGAAATTCCCTGATTTCTCTGTCACGTTTTGGTAAAATTCCCTGACACTTGAAAAAGGTATGCCAGGTGATTAAAAAGACACTTTGAAATGTCTTTCACACAAAATCTGTAGTTCGAAGTGTTGAACTCATTCTAGAGAGCAAATAATGGTGACTTGAAAATTTTTCCTTGACAGTGGCAACCCTGTTTTAACATTTTCGATGGAAATTTTCAGACCTTTTCCTGACCGCTGGACGGATCATAAAAATAACTTACTTTTTCCGGACCCGAAAAAATCTGGAACTTGTAAGCTGGACTAGACGGACAAAAAGGAAATAGAATTGGGAACTTTCTGAGACTTACCAGGATGATATCGCACAGGCTCTTTCTGAATATGTAGATTTGGGGGAAGATCATCGCGAGATATTAAAGCATCATATGGAGTTCTAGTGTCAACAGGGGTCGTGTAAAATTCATAAACATCTCCTGGAAAATTATATTATAAACAAATTAAAAGACAAATTAAAGCTATTTGGGAGAGATGCGTACATATATAATATGTAGTTCTCTGTTGGAGATTTATACTTGAGGTACCTATTGTGAGATACAAGTATATTAGAAGTCATAGGAAGTTAGCTGAAAAATAGTTGCATTCTTCAGGTCCGAAGGCTGCTGCATTGTTATCCTTTGATGGAGATTAACATTTGAGCAAGGATGATGCTGCTGATATGAGTAAATGCATTTAATGGTTCCGTGTTTCTGGCAGTCAAAAGTAAACATAGAGTACATAGAGTCGTAATGTAAGTGGGAGGGCTGGCGCCACTTTTAAGCATTTTCCATGTCCCGAATTCCGAGACTCCTGTGTGACGCCGGGTCACTTTTTCAATACATAATCGATTGTTTGCGATACACGGGTACCCGGCCATCCGATGACAACAACAACAACAACAACAACAAAGGAGATAGGAATCACCATGTATTCTACACCGCCATTTTGGATCGAAAATGTATCGAAAAAGTGACCCGAACTCGGTGCACACCGGGCTCGGAATTCGTTGAGCAGAACATGGCGCCAGCTCTTCCATTTACATTACGACTCTATGTACTCTATGAAAGTAAACAACTGCCATCATGTCTGACACGCTTTCTAGAGTCCCTTTATACCCAGAGTTACGACAACTCACTTTTGGTTGGGCCAGGGTTGGGCTGAAAGTGGCCTAAAAAAAAATCCAATTCTGATTGGTTCTCGCTCATGGAGGCCGAAACGAGTGCACCAAGATGGCGGTACCTCGTATGTGAACAAGAATAATGAAAATATTACCTAATTGTGGTTTATCAAGAGTAAATTGTTATTTCCATCGGTCCAAAATGAAAATAGATTAAGAAATTATTCACAAACCAATCTCATTTTCTTTTTAACTGATCAATTTATCGATGTTGTTGTTTTTGTGTGACAGACATCGCAGGATTCCTGATCCTTATCCCTCAATATCGCTCGTTTGGGTGCACTCGTTTCGGCCTCCATGGCCAGCCAAGGCCGGCTGTCAGTCAGCTGATAATCGAGTTGTCGTAACTCTGGGTATAAAGGGACTCTATCGCTTTCTAGCAGATGTGTTAGATATTTAGTAGTTTTTAAACATTCTTTAACAATTCACCTCTGGTAACATTAAGCCTATGATACTTCTCATTTTGATCAATGCCAATTTCTTTGGAATATGCAAGTTATTTTTCTTGACCTAAAAAAAGGGTAATTAGTTTACTTACTCAGTGTTCTCATTGTATGTAAGAGCGAGTTAGGTATTCTGTAGTTAAGGGTTTTTTCACACTCATAAAAAAATTTGAATCTCTTATCAGGATCATCAAGAGGGACCGTATGGTTGGAGCTGAGGAGTACTTTTTTGCTGACATTCTTCAACAATTCTTCAACATTCTCTGGAGGTTCATATGGTTTATTCGGTCGTAAGAATCCTCTGGCCATAATTGACTGACCGATTGGGAAAAAAGGTTCCACAAGTTCAAGTTCATGGTCGGGTTTTTTCTCTTTCCTCTTTAGTTTTACTAAATGAGGAAGTTTGTGCTTTTTCTTACTTTTAGGCACATCCCTTCCTGATGCTGTTTTGCCCTGAAAAGGAAAGAGCATATTAAGTTTTCAGATTAAATACTTGAAGTTTTGGAGGAAAAAACTTGGAAATTTGAGTACAGGATCCCACAACTAAAACAGAGTCTTTGTAAAAGGAGGTTTTAGAGCTGTCAATATGAACAGTCTAAGTAAAGTTGGCAAAATGCTTAAGTCTATGTCTGTTGCCAATGAAAAGGTAAGTAACTGATTGTATCTGACATTGGAATCACACGCTTTGCACATGTCGCGCAAATCAGCTACAAGGCTTGGCATCTGCACTATCCGGATGGATTTGATACAGTTCTCGATGAAAATAACTTGATTTTCGAAATTTCAGCCCCTAAGCGATGACTGTTGACTTCTATGTTCAGCTGCCACATTCAGCATGTTTCATACGTTGCAAGTGTTTGGCTGAAAGTAAGGGTCATCGGTGCATCACTCATCGATGATCGTGAAATGTATAGCAAAAATCCTCATCGATAACCCCTAGTTTCAACTTAAAAACTTGCAATGTGTACAAAGGGCACAAGATTCCAACATTGGGGTAACATTGGCTCACTAACCAGGTATCAAAATTATTTGAGTATGAACCATTTTCGGATGGGTGTGCCTTTGACTGTTAATATGAACAATCGTCCTATTATTTTGAACACAATAGATCTGTTAAATTGATCCTGTGGGTTTTAACTGAGTAAAACGGCAGCGCCCTTCCTGCCGGCACCATTGGTGAAAGGAGGAGTTGTGGATGAATAATACCAACATGTGAAAAGGGCAATGAAGGAGATGAGCCCGAGGTGACGGGCAAGTGAAAGGTAGATGAAAATCTTTGAAAAACCATTAGAACATGAGAAAATGAATCTTATCAGTGGTTTGTTTGTGTACATAATGCAGGCAGTGGGCTAACCTAACAAAGAAGTTTTTGTGGCGCATTAATAGTTAGGGAGAGCCCAAAATCTGTTAGTGAGGAAATTAATTAATCCTTCAAGGATGAGGTAGCAATTAATGGAACTTACATTGATAAATCTAAATTGAGTGAGAAATGGTGAAAAATTTTTATTTGGCAACACATGCCTTACGAGGGCAGCCATGTTGGTCACTACTGAAAATCACGTGACGCCGAGAACCAATCAGAGCGACGTAAGCATTGGAGCTTGTTGTCCTATTCCGCCATCTTGACAGTCGCCATGAAAGGTGAAAATCCTTTTCGTTATCCTGAGTTTTTAGTGAAATTTTAATTGTTTTAAATGTCTTATTTCAGTGATTAGTGGTGCTAAGGACGCTCTATAAGATGGATTAACAATGACACATCAGAATCATCAGACTAACGGCGCTAGTCTCGAAGATTGCCACACGAATTTCTTTGCATTGGTAAGTCCAAGCAGTAGCCTGTTTCCGAATTAGAGGAATCGGCCTTGTCTTTGAACACCGTTACATGAAGCATTGTACAAAATGGCATGAATCGAAATTTCTAATCAGTCCTTTCACCCCTATCCAAAAATTTTGCATTCTATGCAGAGTTATACTTATCTGATTGTTTGGTTGTCACACTCAGCTGGCTCTAATCCTGAGACATCTGAATGTAATTTTAGCATTTTGAGAAGCAAACGGAGTTCTATCATGAAACTACCTCTCAATATTTATCATGTTGTGCATTTTAAGCCACTGTTATTTCAAGCATTTCTGGGATAACTAGCTATCTGCATCTGCAAACTAGCTTGCGCTGCGTGACCTACAAACTAGCTTCCTAGCTGTTGCCTGCACTATCATGAAGATGATATGCTGCAGATTAGATGAATTGTTAATGTTTATGATTGAGCCAACCCTTACAATTTCTGTTTCTCATACACGCTTACTTCTGTACCAGTACCTTTTTAAGGATAATTTTACCGCAAATATGAAAGTACTCTAAATGGGAAAGTTTTCTCCCCCTCTCAATACTCTAATCGAAGGTGAAGTCAGTGTTTCCTCTGTCCATCATTTGCCATGAATTTTAATGTTTTCTTGCTGGGAGCTGATTCTCATGGGATCCGAAACAAATGCAAACGGAAAAGTTTTCAAATGCACCTATTGTTCTTTTCATCTAAAGTTCTCTTTATCTCAAGCCTCTACAGAGATATCTGTCCATGCCTCAATTCTCTCTATTACTAGAAATCACCTCTCATTCAAAGTAGCCCTGTCAAGAGCTCCCATTAGTAATACCGTCAGTCTTGCTGATTCAACACTTGGAATTTGGGTACTAGTAAGTGTACCCACCTCTTAAAGGCTCTCTTGAAGAAAGTAAGGGCGAAATTAAGCAAGTCGAAATGTCTGTTTTTTATTGGTCCATCTTCAGCAATTTAAAAACCCTCATCGCCTGGCTAAGTCAACCTCTATTAGCTAGTTTGTTGGTTCAGGTGATGATTCTGAGGAATGCTATCCCAACCTGAGACAATTTCTAGACAACCCTAATCGTAAATTCTATGCCATTTTGTCCACTATTTCTTGTCAACTTTTCTTGCTTCTCTAGACTGTTAGATTTGTAAGATAAATCTCTAAGAAACTTTCTCCTGCTGGTAAGAGTACGATGGACTCATTTGGAACTAGATTTATCGAATCGCTGCTTTCGGAATTTGATGCACTGACGAGAATTTTCGCTATGTACTCAGGATTTGATGAATTCCAAGGTTGGTTACATGGTCGGTGGTTGCACAGTGAAGCAATGCATGAAGTATCAATGTGGAAATCATCGTACTCTTGCCAGTGATCAAAATATACTGCAGCACCAAGTCTGTTCTGAAGATTAAGAATTCTTGTGTGTAGAACGTCAGAATCGGTACCCTAGAATTTCAAATTAGATATGGATGTCTCTCTCATGACTTATCAATCAGCTAGCCATAGTCCGCGCTTGATTTTGAGGTTGTGAAGTAATTGATAAATTAAGGTCTATTGACACCAAGTGACGTTGACAAGGCATATAGGATAGCAAATGGACTGATTTAGTGATAAGGTCATTCTGCATATTGCCATTAAGTTGAGATGCCTGAATATTTCAAATATTGAATGGATGTACCTAGTCACAAAATCAGTTCCTTGCAAGATCCTAATCCTTTAGGCTTCAGTAATTTTAGAAAATTGATCTGCGTAATTTTGTGGAATAATGAAATCGCATTTATCTAAACTACCTAAAACAAGAGTAATATACAATACGAAGAACCTTCCCTTGAGTGAATTTATTGGAAGTTCCGAACCTCTATGGGCCGTTCTGTCCTGGTTTGTCTCATCAGTCACCAACACCAGTGGACACCTTTGTTACCAGATTCGACTAATCAGATACGTTGGTTTTCGATAGGTGGAACTTTTTTCGGAACCACCTCGCGAGGTGGCACCAAAATCATGCACCAATGTTGCGATTCGTTAGTCATCGAATTGGAAGTTCCGAACTTAAATAAATTGGCAGTTTGGAGGTTTGGGCTTAAAAGTAGTACGGAACCTCTAATTAAAATTTGCTTATGTAGCATAGGAATCCTGCTGTTACATGTGGAACTTATTACTCTTACAAATATCTTCATTACTCGGTATTTGTGCTTATATGCAGCTTTGCACCGTTGTTTAAGTCCATACCCCATCCTCTATCTTGCTCTGAGTGAGTGATGTAAGATAGGCAAGGAGCATTTGCAGTCTGCCTCAAATCCTCGACAATTATCAATAGCCCAGAAAACATGTCACAAAACTTTTATTTTCCAACTCGAAGACTTGCTCTTAGTTTGAGCTTACCCGTAATGAATTTTTTTAACCTTTATCCGCTCATTCATTGCCTGAAATTTTTCAAGTGCAAATTGTGATTTTTTTGTACCTAACTTTCCTGATTTTACATATTCAACGTGGCCACTATGCGAACCTTCAAAATTAGCCCGGTCATATCTACCCCTTCCCTTCTTCTGTATGAATCTCTGCTGGGTACGTAATTTTTTTTTCCAGCGTCTAATCGTCCATTCTATGGTAATCTTGCTATAAATCCAATTATTCAGTTCGAACTACTCTTTCGGGAATGTGACTCCTCGCGCAACGTTGCCCGGCCGCAAGGTTAGGTAATCGCTTCACTTTTTCCGATGAAGTACGAAAATCAATGTAGAACGAAGAGCGGGAAACGAGCGACGGACGGATGGAGGAGGAGGGACCGTGCTACGAAGAGGAGAAAGGTGGCTAGTGTGAAAAGTAGGTCAGTGTCCAATGTGAATTTCTCGAGCTGTTGATTCGGAGCTAGTGTGTGTGTTTGTGTTTATCGCAGAATCCCCCCGCCTCCCTATCCCTTGCTCTTATTCCGAGGGTTCACGACGCCGGTCGGTCGGGTGGGTTGCCCGTTGCCGTTTGAGAAAAAGCTCCGGACTCGTCGGTAACCGAAAGTTGCGCTGTGGGCTCCTCGGGGTCTGGGGCCGGAGTTGGCGATTTCGAATCGCCCCCGAACTGCCGCCGCTGGGGACTTGTTGCTCGACGGAGCCGGAGCGGTGCGGTGGTGCGCCCGATGGAGCCGATGAATGGTGAGACACGGGCTCTGCTTTGAGGCTGCGAAGAGGAAACGCGAGCCGTAATTTGAGTCAGGGGCGTGGAGGGGGCTCGATTCTCTGATCGCGGGGCAAATGTGAAGGCACTTGGAACGGGGAATAAATGTGAAGGCAGAAGGTATAACCCTGCTAAGCGTGTAGGTTTTTGAGAAGGGAATTGTGTAACGCGCTCTTTTATGGGAAGAAAATAGTCGATGCTCGAGAGCAAACTCATCGTAGGAAATCGAACAGACGTGGTCCAAAACTGGATCAAAGTTTGATGGACCCGGCGGGAGTTTAATGGAGTTTCGGAGAGTTTGATGGAAAATCGATCAAATTCACAACAGCCGGACGGAATGCTGGAGAAGTTTCGGTGAGAGAGGGTGAACTTGTTGAAAATTCGTCAGCGATCAGGTCGGATTTTAGAGGAACTCGAGGGTGGCGACTTGAAGGTATGATCGCTGAATGAACGAGGACTTTCTAAACACCTGGCTCCTGGCATGCTCGGTCCGGCCGCGGCGCGTTTCGGTGAAGTGACAGTTGCATCCTCGGCCAAGGAAAGCTGCCGCGCCGCTGTGTTGCCGCCTGTCAGTTCTAATAATTTATTCACTATCATACGCTGCTCAGCGTACGAAGGAATTCTGTCAATTTTCAGCCGAAATGGCAACGATGCAAGCGGCGGGGCACGATATATCCAAACGATGAACCAGGTTTGAGATGTAGTGTAAAGCAGCGAGTGTGCTGTGATCCATTACCGCTCTAAAGTATCCGTTTTGAAGGTAAAAAAATTTGGGCGTTTTAAGGGGATTTCTTGTGGATTTCCGGTGGTCAAAAAACTCCCGGGAAAATCAGGGCCAAGAAACCTTAGTTCTTGCGATACAAGCACTAATGATAAGAAAAATATCAAAAGTGCAGCAGGCCCATTCTTTGAGGAACAGCGGCTAAGCATGAGGGACGCCTTCATCAAGAAAAGATACTTCCTAGCGTGGCCGCGGAGGCCGAAGAGTTGCACTTTTTAAATATTCAATCAACACTGCAGCAGCACGCACTCTTTGAGCCACCTTGATTCTGACCGCGTGCGTATAGATACGGAAAACGGCAACAGATCATGGAGCGTAGAGCTGAGGAAGAACGCCTTATGAACTTTCGAGAGTTGCCTAATTTCCCCAAATAAAACATGTATTTTTGAAGAATGTTATGCATATTTTTCCTTGAAATTATCAGACATTTTAGATTATATTACGAGCGAAATCTCGTGAAAAATCGGAGAGGATACATGGAAAAATTTCCCTGAAATTTGGAATTTGCCGAAGGAAAGTTGACGAGGCCTGATGGCTCATACTGCCGTGCTAAGGAAGAACGCCGTATGAGCCTTCAGACGTTGCCAAGTTTCCGTCGTTAGAAACCAAATTTATCAGGAAAATTGTGAATGATCTTTCCCAAAATTTTCGGATAATTTTGAACGCAAATTAATATAAAATATCCTAAAATTTCAAGGATTAATACGAATGAATGTTGTCAAAATTCATGTTTTATCAAGGGAAATTTGGCAACTCTCGAGTGTTGATACGGCGTGTATCCTTAGCATGGCAGCGTACGGCGTTGTTGCTCAGCGAAGTCGAGTAGAGCGCGGGCTATGTGTGGAGCAATGCTCTCGGGGAGATTTTCCAGCTCGGAGAGACGCAACGGAGAGGAGGTGCATCCCGCGAAGATGCCGCGAGAGTGCGAGCGAGAGAATGGGATTTTTCGAGGAAGGTCGAGCCGCTCGAGCGACATGCGAATTACTCTCGACTCGGAACAATGTTAATTATTATCAGGTACTCCACTTATTGACCGGAGCCGTAATTA